TGTTTGCGGATCAAGCTCTTCATCTCTCGCAGAACCGCGGTCTTGAAAGCGGTCGCTGCAGGTGTCGTGTGACGCACGCGAGCAAGGCCGGTGAGATGCAGGTGCAACCGGGACCGTAACTGGTCATCAAAGGCCATATATGCTGGGGCTTGTGTAGCCCCTGTACGCTGTCCTCCCCGCTGCCGCTGGAACGCAGAGCCCCATCGTTGTAATGTTGTATCCAAAGGCACGTTTTCGACATGCTGCCTCAGGTCGCCCAGCAGGTCGCTCAAGAAACGGCTCTCATATCCTGTGCCAATGCGGTATCTCAGATGTGCCAGGTCGTCAGATGCGCCTTCCAGGGCCTTGAGCTTGCGCAAATCGATGGCTTTTTTCGGTTGCTCTTGTTTCTCGTTGCCGTCGGGAGAGCCAGGGGTATACTCTCCGGCCATCAGTCTTTCCACCTCTTCTAATCCATCCGCAGCCTCTTCGATTTTACCAGTCTCGACTAGTTCCTCGCATCGGGAAACCGACTGGACGACGTCACGGAGTTGTGATACTGCATCTGCAAGCATACGCACATTCTCTCTCCTCCGTCGCAAATTCACAATTTTGAGTCCACCCAGTGCCATCTCACGGTCAATCTTCTGTAAATCCTTCCGCAGGACCTGGATCCGTTTCACCGAGTCGGCGGCTTCTGCATGTAGCTCCCGCAGTGACCCCAGCGCAGTGAAGAAAGACTTAGATGCAGTCGAGATAGAAGAGATAAGGTGGATTTCCACAGTGTCCATGTACCACGAAAGCTTCTCTTGTAGAATGGCATTCGTAGCCAGAGCCTTTCTACCCGTGGGCGCCGGTTCCAGGGCACCTCCATTCTCGAATTTATCCTTTGACGGTGTAACAATCTCAGACTTTTCCGAAACGACATCGAAGGTGCGTGGGTTCTCTAGGTGGAAGTCATCCTCAAAGTAGACCGTCGGGATGGTAGATAGAGGTGTGATAGCATGACCGCGACCGCGACCGGCAAACGACCGCTTCCGACCCCGGGTATCGTACGGAGAAGTTGCTCGTGAACTGGTTGAGATGGCCGATGGTCGTCTCTCCCTGGACCTTGGGGCCAACGAATCTGATTCCTCTGCCTTGGGTGAAGACTTGTCGCTACCCCGCGCTAGCTGCGACTCCTGATCTCCGGCGCTTTCCTTTGCTTGTTGGAAGACGTCGTACAACGACCCAACTTGCGACAGGTAGGCTTCAAACGCTTTGGGATCCACATGCGGAATGTTGGTCAATGTGACAGGGGGTATATCGCGGGTAGTTGGCGGCTTGTATCCGGCGGAGGGGACAGCGGTATGGGGAACTAGACCGGTGCGGACAATGGGAGGTTGCAGGAGAGTAGAGATGGCTGCGTCGAATTAGCATGCGATTTTCTTCATAGAACTCCTCACTCCCATAGGTCGTACCATTTTGCCCGGACTCAGCTATCGATCCATGACGGTGGGAAGGATCCAAAATACCCCCGATACTGGCAATCGAGCTGGCAGTCGACCCTCTCCTGAGAGGGTACCTTTGAGTCGACGCACGCGGCGATTCGATCTGATTTAGCGAGAATTGAGACAAAGAGGGAGTCGATGCGCCTGAAGCCAAGCTGTCAATGGACTTCCGGGGGGTCGCGGACGACATATTGTCGATAGCGGATTAGCGACTCCCACAGCCACCGTGCTAGTAGTAGTACTCGGGAGAACGAACGACGGTTAACTACACATGACAAGGAGATCAAGCTGCAATTAAAAAACGAAGGGGCATTAATGGCGTCCAGCCAATGATCCCACACTGCCAGGGTATGAAGCCTGTGGTCTCAAGAGGAGAGAATGAAAGCCACGCCGACAAAGCCCGCTTGCAACGTCACCCTCGACCCTCTGATACGGGGGTTGGTTCATGACAGCTTCCCCCGATCCAGTATGGCGCCAGGCCCCGAGACCGTGTCCACTAGTCTGCTTTGGGAACCCCTCGGGAAGTTAGTATCTCCGGCTGCCGGCACACAAGTCTCGTGCTTGTGGACGTACTCCAGAATACTGCCACACCGCACCGCCAAATTTTTAACAGAATCTCAGATGAGTTTTTTGAAGCTGTATGTTTCCAAAATCCGCTAAATCCGAGGTTTTTGCGACGAGGTTCACTAGTTTCTGCCGCCTCCAGCGGTCTGAAGAGCGGTGAGGGATGTGTGTTCTGCCTCAGGCATGAAGAAAACCACTTAACGCGTGAAATTGACGCGACGCGTTCGGCTCGTGTCCCGCCGCAAAAGTTATTTGCAGGTCCTTTTTTGCCCTGGCAATGAGACGGTCCCGAAATCAACACATCTCACAATCCCATCCCCGCAGTCCGCTCTAGTGTCTTCACCATGGACAGACGCACCCCTTATACCCTGAGTGTCCTCGCTCCTAGCGTCGATGGTGTGGAAGACTCTCGCTCTCAGATTCGAGCAAAATTAAAGGAGTTTGTGCTCGAATTCCAGCTTGACAATGCATTCATCTACCGGTATGTTTGGCCCTAGCCCGGATACAGTGAAGATTCAAGTCAACAAAAGCTAAGGTGGATGACAGTGACCAACTTCGCCAGAATGTTCTGGTCAAGCAATACTATTGCGATATTGATATCGCTCATTTGATCTCATACAACGAAGAGCTAGCACACAAGCTCACAACAGAGCCTGCCGACCTCATCCCCCTCGTGAGTTTCCATCTCCTAAATCCTTGAACCTCATCCTGACCAACAATGCCACTTAGTTTGAATCAGCGCTCCAAGATTGTACTCGCCGCATTGTATACCCCTCCCAGAGAGACATCCAACTACCCACCCATCAGCTTCTACTCCACTCCTCAGCTACACACATTTCGATCCGTGACCTCAATGCCACCAATATCTCGCACCTTGTTCGTATTCCAGGTATCGTCATTGGCGCTTCGACGATATCATCCAAGGCAACAGTGATGCACGTTCGGTGTAAGAACTGTGGTCACCACGAAGATCTTCAGGTCGATGGTGGTTTCTCGGGTGTTCAACTTCCCAGAAGATGTGGCCGACAGCAGCAGCCCGGCGACCCTCAGTCGGAACCCTGCCCACTAGACCCATACGTTGTGTCGCACGAAAAATGTCAATTCGTCGACCAACAGGTTCTCAAGCTCCAGGAAGCGCCTGATCAAGTGCCTGTTGGTGAGCTTCCCAGGCACGTCCTTATCTCAGCCGACCGTTACCTGGCCAACCGTGTTGTGCCTGGTTCCCGGTGCACAGTGATGGGTATCTTCTCTATCTACCAATCGTCCAAGGGTGGCAAGAAGGATGGCGCTGTGGCCATCCGCAACCCGTACTTGCGGGCGGTGGGCATTAGTAGCGATCTGGATCATACCGCCAAGGGTAGCGCCATTTTCTCTGAAGAGGAAGAGCAGGAGTTCTTGGAACTGAGCCGGCGTCCTGACTTGTATGAGGCTCTTGCTAAAAGCATTGCCCCGTCCATCTATGGGAATCTGGATATCAAGAAGGCCATTGTCTGCCTGCTCATGGGTGGTTCTAAGAAGCTTCTTCCCGATGGAATGAAGCTTCGTGGTGATATCAACGTACTTCTCCTTGGTGACCCTGGTACAGCCAAGTCACAGTTGCTCAAGTTCACTGAGAAGGTCTCCCCAATTGCGATCTATACATCTGGTAAGGGTTCTTCGGCAGCAGGTTTGACGGCCTCGGTCCAGCGCGACCACGCTACTCGCGAATTCTACCTGGAAGGAGGTGCCATGGTGCTCGCAGACGGTGGTGTTGTTTGTATCGATGAGTTCGACAAGATGAGAGACGAGGACCGTGTTGCTATTCACGAAGCCATGGAGCAGCAGACCATTTCCATCGCCAAGGCCGGAATTACTACTATTCTCAACTCTAGAACGTCTGTTTTGGCCGCAGCCAACCCTATCTTCGGTCGCTATGATGACCTCAAGACTCCTGGTGAAAACATCGACTTCCAGACGACAATCTTGTCTCGTTTTGATATGATCTTCATTGTCCGCGATGATCACGAGCGCAGCCGTGATGAAAGCATAGCCAGACACGTCATGGGAGTGCATATGGGCGGTCGGGGTGTTGAAGAGCAAGTTGAGGCTGAAATCCCGTTGGATAAGATGAAGCGCTACATCAGCTATTGTCGCACGTAAGTTGTCCTTCGCCTCGTATACCCGACATCTGAGTCAGAAACGCTAATACATCATTACAGTCGCTGTGCGCCCCGTCTCTCGGATGAAGCTGCTGAGAAGCTGTCATCGCATTTTGTCACCATCAGAAAGCAAGTCCACCGTGCTGAACTTGATGCCAACACCCGCTCTTCCATTCCCATCACCGTTCGTCAGCTTGAAGCTATCGTCCGTATTACCGAATCGTTGGCCAAGTTGAGTCTGTCACCTGTCGCCACTGAGGCTCATGTCGACGAAGCTATTCGTCTCTTCTTGGCCTCTACCATGGACGCTGTCACTCAAGGTGAAGGCCAGGGTAGCAAGGAGATGATGGAGGAAGCAAGCAAGATCGAAGACGAACTGAAGCGCCGCCTACCTATTGGATGGAGCACCAGTCTGGCGACGCTGAGACGCGAATTTGTCGACGGAAGGGGCTACACGGAACAAGCACTCAACCGGGCATTGGTGGTTATGCAACGACGAGAAACCGTTCAAATCCGGTCCGGTGGCTCACAAGTATACCGACACGGTGTCTAGTACTTCTTCATGTCTGCTTTTGATTTCACACCTTGCGATATTGTCACGAATGATCTTCCGATGTTAGTCTGCTGGGATGACTACGTATCAATTTGGGCTCGGGATTAACGGGGATGACTCGGTGTATGGCGTACTGCTTTGTTCACGGTGAACGACTGATCCGTTATTAGATGAGCGAATTTAACGAGAGACAATATAACAACAATAATATGGAATACCAACCAGTCTAGATGAGGAGGAAAGTCTTTGTATCAGTCAAACGCAATTTTCATATGCTCAGGATAACTCGAGGAAAGTGCAGTCCACTCTAACTGCATTGATTTGATCGATCTTGTCAGCCAGGTTGTTCATCATAAAATTTGTGATTGTCCTGGACAACAAATCAGCTCTCTTATGGCCCCGAACACACTGGTGTCCCGGAACCCAATGAAGCTCGACCTTGACTCCTATCGAGCAGAGCCGGTGAGAAAGAGCGTCAACAAGACGCACTAGACGGCCAGCGAGTGGGCTCAACTTCTTTGTTCTAGGCCGCAGCATTTCCATGGCCGCTTGGCAGTCCGTGAAGACCTGGACAACATGACCTGACACTTGAAGCCGCTCCAGGTGGCGGACTGCTGCTCTCAGACCGGCCCCGATAGCGAACAACTCAGCCAACTGGCTGAGCCGGATCTCTTCGAGGCAGTACAGCTCGTCCGCGTCTTGTCCGTTGTGCCCGTGGACAACTGCGACTCCAGATGGCGCTGCCTCGTTGGCGGCTGTCGATCCGTCCACCCAGAAGACATGATAGTCATCTGGGGACGTCTCTGTCACCTCCTTGGCATAGTTCAAAGCTTCTTGACGAGGCTTGATCAGCAACACTCTATCAAATCTATCATCCTCAATCCGGATGGTAGTTGGAGGCTGCTGCTGCTGCTGCTGCTTCTGTTTCTTTTTCTGATTCCCAGAGTGCTGCTTCCTACCCCCACGCTTGTTCGACTTCCTCGTCCCGATGGACTCGGTCGTTCCAGAAACGGAAGCAGCACCCCGATGCGGGTCTGCATGGCTTTGGGAATCTTCACTAGTGATAGTTCTGCTGCTAGCACTACTGCTAGTACTGCTGCTAGCACTTCTGCGCTTATACCGTCCGAAGACAGAGGCAGTACTACCCTCGTCTTGATTGGTTTGGGAATCTCGATTTCTCTGGCTGACGCCGTCAACCCGGTCAAGGTAAGGATCGATCACTTGAGAACCTCGAGCGTCGTCCTTAGCCCTCTGTGATTTGCCCTTCCTGGAAGGAGGCGTGCGCCCTCTGGATCCGATGTTTCGAGGAGCTCTGTGACCCCAACTCATGCTAGTCACCGCTGTGGGATTCTCAACCTCCATGACTATATCCCTCTGGAAATACATATGGTGAAATTCTTTCTGGGGAAAATACTTCGACCTATTATGTGAAATATGATACCAGGCAGCGTCTTACAGGTCTGATAAGAAAAAGGGAGATCGTCTTTGTTCGAAGAACTAATGATGCGCTATTGTGGCAGTGGGCGAGTGGATGGTTTCGAGACAAGAGCGGATGGGTGCCTCTGCACTGGAAGAGTGCCCCATATGAGTCAAGTCGACAATCTTTACGTCTTTGAAAGACAACATGTATGCAGCATTATGACGAGATGTCCAGTCAGCCATCGAACACTACAGAATGCCGAGATGTCTGGTCTGGGGGCTTATATGACAGACTGGAGAGCCAACGGTACGAAATATGGGTCCAAAAAGTATTTAGTTCGAAGTCTGATGGAATTTCGATTCTTACTGCAGCTCTACGCTCACAGCGTGAACCTATAATGTCAAACTACTGCATTGAAATACTTCTATCGAATCAGACTCCCATCCAAGCGTTGGATCCTGTCCTTTGAAGCAAATGGATGCAAGATAACAAAAATCTGGCTGTCTTTACTCCATGAGGTTTCTGGACCAACTATGACGCTTTCAGGGCTTTTGCGTGCTCGGTAGACGCCCGGGATGTTAAGGAGAGAACAAAGCATGGTAGCAATGCCAAGGCATCTCGAGTCGTATCAGTAAGCGCAGTTTGTGAGTTGATACAACGTTGGAATGGCTTGGGATTTTGTCAGATGCGCTCAAAGCCTACCATTTTGGTTTCTAATGATAACGTCCGTTGCAATCGTATGGCGGGGTTCAATCATCTATATAGATGCGGTAAGCGAAAGCTTAGTAGTTGTAGTCATGTTGACGATATCTTAGTCTCCACTATATATAGTAGCATTGGTTTGGTCTATCACCAGTCTTGCGATTCTGTTTATGAAAAGATTTACATATCACTATCCCAGGATGACTGCTTCATTTACTAGTAGCACTGCGCGACGTCTAGTACTTCACTAGTAAGTCTAGGCTGACTATCACCTGACCGCGTGAACCGAATGACGCCTAGTTCAGGCACTACAGGACTCCATGTGGTTACTATCATATACTTATTACCAGCTGCTAGTACTCATTTTCGACCATCATGCTTCAAGTGTACCAGGTAAAACAGAGCATCTCATACGACGCGCATGGGTCTGTCCCATAATATATTCTTAGTAGTACTAGTATCTACTTCGTCGACGAGCGGCGTGCAAAAGGGAGTAAGCTTCAAACATTACTCTGCTAACTTTTATAGCATTACATCACTTTGTTGATCAATGAACCGCATACTGACCGACCACTAGATTTATGTCAGGCTCATGAACGCGCGCTTTACTGTTAGCAGAAGACTTGGACTTTCTCTTCATAACGAACCGCTTGAAAGTTGACAACTCCACACCAGGTGTCCAAATGAGGGACAGACAGCACCATATAACGGGGTTAACCTTCGTCTCCACATCGATGTATAGTCAAAATACAAAGACACCGCAATTTACATGGTCATGGTCCCGCCGGAGCCACTGAACCATGGGTACGATGGGCTGAAGAGGCCCGCAGTCTCGACTGTCTGTTTTGCTGCCAGGGCATGCATTTTGATGATATTCGAATAAATATATGGGGCCGATATGTCCTCCTGATGTGATAGACCGTTAGCTCTGTTAGGCAAACGGTAGTATAGATGAGTTTCTGGGATGGTGTTAGCTAGGTAACTGAGGTGAAAGCTCAGGAACTGATTTCTGGTTCAGACCGCGCCGAACGGGACCAAACGGAAGGGTAACCAGCCAGAGGAAATTGAGAGGTGAGGTATGAGGCTTCGTGGCAACCGTGGCCGGGGTGATAAGTATGATCGGTCTGGTCTACATTCCAAGGGGTCCACAGTACAAGTATCTGACAGCATTCCTGAAGATCAAACGACCAGCTGGCAAGTGGGGTATGAAAATTACTTGACGCGCCGCGCGTGGTGAGAGAGGTACTATTTTCGCCCTGCCATGTCAAAAGGTTAACGAAGATTAACTCTTTTATGTCCGTGGCAGGGGAAGCAGAGGTATGTCATTGATTGCTTGCTCCACGGCTCTTGAGATGGCCATTGTCGAGAAAACCTAGTATCTGAAGCTTTCTGTATTTGAGGAATGAATGGATTGAGCGTGTCATTGTCGATAGGTAAACTGGTGGTCAGTCCATGTACTTTTCTTTCATTCACCACCGATACTTCCGATTCCGGCGCGTACCGTACATTCAGCCCCTGACTCCGGCCCAGACTTTGAGATCGTGTGCACATCTGTATAATTATAGCTGCGTACAGAGGAGGGATGAAGAAATTGCAGCGAGTAAGGACAGAAGTTCACACCTCACGTCCTAGAATCGGTGTTTCAGGTCCATGCAGCAGCGACAGAGACATGGGTCAGTAAGCGCCGGGGGGCAAATGGAACATTATATAGGAAGAACCTAATCAAAAGCGCTTCGAGCTGAAGAGAACAAGATAAATATATCATGATCGGTCGAATCTGGACTAGATCGACGCCTCTTGTATGCTGCTGTTACACCATGTACGGAGTTTCTATTGTCTATCTAGTGGCCAACCGACAATCAATAGACGGGCTGCCGTAGCGCCGGCTTCAAGGGGGTGTGCAGGTGGTGAAACATGGGGTGGGGATACGTGGTCGTGATAGACACGCGCGAAGGAGCGACGGGCGCGCCATGCGTCGTGGAGGGGACAGTTTGGTTGGTGAAGAGGCACGAAGGGGAAGAAAGGGTCGTGATGGCAACGCGTTGAAGGGGGGATGGATGGATGATGGACGGGTGGGGAGAGGGGGAGGGAGGAGGGAGGAGGGAGAGCAACTATGGAGACAAACGTTCAATAAGGTTTCAATGGAGTTTGATGATAGAAGTAGATTCTAAACTAGTGAAGAGGCAAAAGGCGATAGGCATTCTAGATGATCGACTATTCCCGATGATATCATGAGTAAGTAGTGAAGAAGAGAGAAAACATTAATCGCGAAATGCATCTTGCATGCCGCATTGGGGGAAGAAGTAAAAAAGTAAGCCCTGAATCGCGCGACGCGACGTGATCATGGAAGAAGGGCCGAAATGAGATGAGGGAGTCGCAGCCAATAATCGATCAATAATGGGTCTCGAAGCCTTGCATGGGACCATCGGTAGTTTAAGTCAGTTGTGGATTTAGCCTCCGTCTGGAATTCTCGGGGTTCCCTGGCCATCATCGATCCCATCCCATTTGGCGGGCGACACGAACTTGACGCGCTTCTTCGCCTTGACTCCATTCCTGCTTCTGACTTACTTATACAACTCCACCTCCACGTCCACGTCCACGTCCACGCTCTCGCGCTTCCCTTCCCCCTCCCCTCGTCGACTTAAATTCTTTTTCTCTTTTAAACATTTTTCCAAACCCTTACCCTTGAAACCCGTTCATCTGCATGTTTCGACTGTCGTGCAGAAACCTTGGAATGAGCCTTGAATGACCAGCAGCCCACCGTTTTCCCTGCCCTCTCCATTTTTAGGCATTCTTTCTCGGTTGACGCTGCCTACCACCACCTGCCTTTCAACAGCCCTTGCCTCACTCCAATTCTTATATCTCCTCGCCTGGTCCCCTCGTTCCTCTAGTCCTGTCACTTCCCATTGTCATTGTCTTTGTCCCCTTCTAGTCTGGACTTCAATAAAAGACTGGATCGTGGATTAACCTTAACTGCTTTCTCCATCCTATCCAATTCACTCAGCCTCTCCCGCTCCAATCCTGACCGTCGATCTTCTTCCCTCTCCAGACCGCCAATCAATCAACTAACCCCACTCACTTCACTCCCTCGACGCGACTTAAAACAACTCGTCTCCAACACGGCCTCGTTGCCTGTCTATACAGCTCTATACATCCCTTTCGGTGCACTCAATCCGCTGTTTGTTGTCTATTCCGGCCTGTATACAGCATGGCCGCTCTCACCATGACCCCTACCACCATGCGGCAGCCATTTGCCAGCTTGGACGCGCCACGCATGCGCTCCTTGCTCAAGACTAGAATGAACATGAAGAACAAACAAGATGGTACGAACACATCAAACTTCGCCCCATGCTCACCACGCGCGTCATAGCTAACATACTTTCTTATAGGTGCCATTCTTTCGGGAAAGAGACAGCCCCTGTCGGACGTGGACTCGGAGAATATCGACCCAACCACTTTCAAACAATCCGCCAAACGCAAGCGTGGTGCCGACGATGATGACCTGGAACCTGCCAAGGAACCCTGCAAGCCATTCAAAACCTCTCGCATGGTTCTGACCACCGTCAAGTCGACCACTGTCACTCCTCGCAAGCCAACCACACCCACCAAACCAACCGTGTCTACTCCCAAGTCCGCTCCCAACCTTCGGCCAGCTGGACGTTCACCACCGCCCAAGTCTTGCAAGCCATTCTCTCGTCGTTCTACTATCGCCAAAAGCCGTCCCGAGTCCGTTAACCGGAAATCCGTCCACCGCCCATTCTCTCTTGCAACCGCTCTGTCTGGCGCAAAGGCAAAGAGTCAGCCCAGCCCCAAAGCTCCTGCGTCCTGGTCATTCGATATCCATGTGGACACCGAACAGGAAGAGATGACCAACCTCATGCAACACTCCACCTGTGTCCTGGACATCAGCGACCAGGAAGGGAAAGTTGAGACCTCTGGTCGAGGCAAGGAGAATGTACCTCCGGCGGAACTCGGACTTGACCTTCCCCGTTCTCGTCAGCAGGAGTCCCCTGCGGCTGCGGCGCGCAAGTCTGTCATGCTGGAGGAGTCTCGTGAGCCGTTGGGAGACCTCAATGCCGCCGACTACTACGGTGATGACTGCCATGCCTTCTCCTATGCCGTTGTCTATGATGACGAGGCCGACGAGAACGCGAAGAAGGCCCCATCAGTACCACGCTCCACCCCCAACTCCGCCCGCAGCAAGCTTTCCAACGTCTCCTCCGTCTCTTCCTTGCTTGAAGTAACCGCCCCTGCCAAGCCTACCGCTGAGGTTGAAGCTGAGGCGGCAATCGAGATCTGGGAGAGCGAGAGTGCTGCGGAAGAAGCCGCCGATGCCAACTGAGTCCGCGGCCACCACTTGATAGCTCGCCTCGGACTATCACCCATCATTCATACCAACAAGAGTTATACTATATGGCGTTCGGATTACTTCAGGGTTGTACAGCATCGTTTTTGGATACCCTACCTATACAGTCTTTTTGATTTCGTTTGGAGCCCGTTTTATACCGACCAGATCCGTCACGAGACGAATTTTCTTGAGTCCTTTTTCCTATTATCACGTCCAGAACCTACACCACATTATACCTTCCTACTCGACTTCCCACTGTCTTACCCGAACTACTACCTACCTCGACACGAGTCACTATCATTGGCCTGGAGTATAATGGCCCCCTCCGTCACCCTCATTTGCGCATCTGATGAATACTGCGTCCGTTACCTACCTACCTCCTAATGACCTAAGAATGTGTTACGTCGCTTAATGCCTGTATGAGATACATACCCTCAGTCTAATCAAAAGCAAAAAAAGAGAATGAGAATACAAATAAAAATACAATTATTATCAACAAAGTCCTTTCCATAAACTAGTAATCAGTAAATTGCATTTACAGTGGAAGTACACTTAAGCTCTTCGTCTCGTAGCTCTTGTAGTCTCAACGCCACCCATCTCCGTATCCTCATCTTCCCCGCCGTCATCCTCATCAGACTGTTCCTCATCCTCGTCCACATCTTCATCCTCATCATCCACCTGTCCCCCACCCGACACTGCCGCCGCTTCCGCCACAGCCTCCGCCAACTCCTCCTGCTCAAACGCCTCTTCCTCCCCCTCACTCAACATCTCCCCGCCACCATCCCCATCCCCATCACCACCCACCTCATCCTGAAACTGCACCCTCCGATCCGCCCTCTTCTTCCCCTTCCTATTACCCTCCTCCCCAACCTCCTCCCTCCCCACCACCCCCTTCTTCCCAGCAGCAGCACCACCAACCCTCTCCTTCCACGCCGGCGCCCCCTTAATAATCCCCCTCACCTCCGTCGCCATCATCATCTCCCTCTGCGACGCCACCGCCGGATCAAGCCAAAAGTCCACCATGACCGACTCCGGCGTAGCATGATCCGGCAACTTGACAATATTCGCAAACTCGACCTCATCATCCAACATCTTATCATCCAACAGCGCAAGCACCTTCGCCCGCATAATCGTCTTCGTCTTCGCCAACGTCCCATTCCCGAACCACCCATCCGTCAAAATATCACATTCCTCACGCAGGAACCCGGCCGGAGGCGGATCCGATGGGAATAAGATCCTCCGGAGTGTGGGGTCCGTCACGTCGCAGAACATCCACATGCGTCCGTCGCGCGGGAGCGGCAAACACCCTGTGAACAGGTGGGTTGTTGTGGGGAGTTGTTGGGTTTCCGTAGGTTGGTCTGGGTGTTGGTGATTATGAGTTTCGTCGAGGTATTGGGGTACTTCGCCGGCGCGGGCGACGGCGTGACGACGGCCTGTGTACCCGTCTCGTGCGACTTCGGCTTCTCGGGGTAGGATTCGGAACATGGCTGTTTGGTAGATTCGGTAGGAGGGGTCGGTGCGTGGGTCGTGTCCGTATTTGATTATGGCGTCGCGCCAGGGCCCCGAGCGGAAGATGTACCCGACGTAGGGGATTGCGTGGCGGAGGGCGTAGCGTTGTTCGATTGTCGGTAGGGAGTTGCGTAGGCCGCGGCGTGTCCAGGCGGGGCGTTGTTGGAAGAGGGTTTCCACGGCGGTGATGGTTTCTTGGAGCGTTTTGTCGAGTGTGTGGATGGGTGGGCAGTTCGTGCGCGGGGAGGTTGGGACCGTAGCGATGTCGTAGGATACGAGGTGGGTTAGGACTTTTACCACGCGTTGCGTGTTTACTGTTGTTATGTTGCCCGAGTTGTCGATGGCTTGTCGGACGGTGGGGTTTTGGCGGTAGCTTTGGGGTTTGATGTTAGTTGGATGTTGGGTTGGGAATGGGCATGGGGATGGGGGCTTACATGTAGGTGAAGGGGATGTCTCCGAAGCTGAAGGACGGTGGAGGGATGATGTCCACGTCGGTGATAGCACCTTTGCTCATGTCGAGGTCGAATTGCTTCATTTTGTCGTCTGTATCCAGTCAGTTTGTGTCGGATGGTGGTGTGGGAGTAGGACTCGTACAGTCAAATGGCAATATCTGCTCCCGGAATCGGTTGGCAAAGGAACTGGAGCCCGTAGAGAAGACAAAGTCCGGCATTCCTGGTTGTGTAAGTATCCTTTAGAATAATACTTCAATGTAGGTAGTCTGTAGACTCACCCCGAAACACATGTGTCCGGTTAACCAAGCCCACCGGCTCGACCTGATACCTGGATGCATTGTCACTCAGACTCCGTAGCAGTTCTCGAGCACTGCGTCGGTGCGGCTCCGTATGCACCGTGGACACGGCAACGCCGCTAAAGGGCTCATTCGAGCCCTTCTTCCGCTTGCGACCTGTCCTCTTTGGTACCGTCACCTTTAGAAGGATGTTGTTGGACGGTAAGCTGGTCGACTGGAGCGGCCTGGACATGGCATCCTCCGGCCGCAGAAGCAGATGAGCCGGGCTGTCAGGCTTGGGGGGATGTAATATCTGGAGTAACTTGTCAGTCCTTCTGAGTGATAGTCAATTGGATGGCTTGACGTACTTTGGTTATGCCCGCATCACCTTTCAGCGTGTCGACGGCCTTGTCAAGGTTTCTGATAATGGCTGGATGCTCGACGCTGACGATGCGACGTGAAGGTATTTGGTAAAATGGCGCTGTTCTGGCGCCATGTTGGTCTGTCATGTTGTCTGTAGGGCGTAGATGCACCGTTTGTGTCCCTTGTTGGGCTATTTAAATCATGTGTCAGGAGCGTTTGGGGAAAATGCTATCCCTAGGTCGAAGCTATATAAATGCGGATAAGTCTGCACAAATATGGAGCTAGGATTGACGTCAACCGTTAGTATCCAGGGGTCTTAAAGTTAATTCACATCTACTACAACTTGCTGAGCCGGTGAATTGGTTCACTAGATCAGGCTCGATACCAGAGTGTTTCTCGTAACCATACTAAACTACTACAGCAGAATCCCCATTCCTGTGTATGCTTCACAGCCAACCTGGAGGGGAAAGATGGATGTCGATGCTAGGAATCTGCAAGTCACATGACCAGCCAACAGCCACACCATCATCCCGAATCCCCCGTCAAAAAATTAGATGGGAGGGAAAAAAAGCCGCGACTGAGACATGCTGGATGGGTGGATAGCTATTTTCTTTCCTCTAATAAGATGATGCGGTTGCTTTCTTTTCTTTGTTGTTATTATTATTATTATTATTTTTAATACGAGTTTCTTACTCGGGGGGGAATGCGCTGTCTGGCTGACCCCTTGCCTGTAGTTGCACTTCGAGACAGTTCAACATGAACCCTCCGGAGGGTGGGAGAGTACTTGTAGTGGTAGATGGTCTAAGTATAAATTTCGTAATGCTGAGGCGCTGCCCCTCCCATTTCATTTCATTTGGACCTCTTAAAACCGGTTGATTCCCGATTCCCATCGTGCTGGTGGTCGGCAGGTAAAAAAAGGTAGTTTGGTAAAAGGGACCCAACCAGGTCCACGACCTGACCTGCAACCACTAAGAAGACTACGTCCGAGCGCTCTTCTAGTCAGTTCAGTTCAATCAGTCAGTTAGCCACAGCCTCAGGCCAGTCTGCTGCTCTGCTTCTCCTCCCCCCCCCCTCCCCGACCTCAGCTTGATACGACTAACTACTATCGCATCAATCAATCCCTTACAATTCCCAGACTGCTCGACTGGACTGGTTTCTCGTGCTTTCTTTACGGTTGAATGCGCTGACGATAGAAATTCTGATTTACTCCTTACTCCTCTTCTTTTGATTCTTTTTCTGCCAACTGCGACCGTGTGGTTCTAGCACTCTTTCTACTTTGCTACTATTCCCACTTCTTCTGCTCTCTTCATTCCCCCGGGGGCCTCAATTCATTTGCACCCCGCTTCCCGGCAGCCGCTAAGCGACACGGAAAGAGACGATCGACTCCAGCAAACCAGACCGACTGACTACTGGCTGCTCCCTATACCGCTCCCGTTCGCGCCAAACAGTGAAGCGTGCCTGTCTGAGAGATCCTCCTCCCTCCCACTCCCACTCTCCCCCAATTCGCCCCGATACCCTGAACTGAACTTCCTCTGAGGTAAGTCCTGCAGCTATAGTTTCCTGTTCCTCTTGCGCTTTCGGGAAACTGTTCTTGTGTGTTTTGATCCACCTCTCTCTTTTCTTCTCCCCCTATCAAACATCCCCCTTTCTGGTGTGTGATTACACCTTCCATCATCCGCTGGTTCTTTTGGGATCCTACCGCCTCACCCCGGTGCTCTGCGTTGCTGGCCTGGTGTCCACCATTTCCCACTCCCCTCATCCTACTATTTTCTATTTCTTTGATTTTGTATATTTCCCACCCCTGCGATTTTTGCCATGAGCCTTGTTCCTGGACCTTGTGTCTCTCCCGTCAATCCGATTCGAGCGCTATGTTAGGTGGTGTTGTGGTTGGAAATGCTCATGTGGTCATTCCCAGGCCGACATAAATAAATCCCGACGTGGCTCTCCTGAAATTGCCTCCGCGCTATACCAACACCCTCCCCCATCCCTCCTGCTAGTGTGCGGCATCTTGCTGCACTGGCACCGAGATTGAGACCGAGTACATGTGGCTGTTCGACTAGTCGTGACAATGAAGGGCTTCAGACAGAGAGTGGTGAGTGTTCCCTGTCCACTTCCGCTGCCCCCTACACCCCGTTCCCCGCCTCCCTCCTGCCGATGATCAGCTCTCGTCCAACCCACCCCCCCAAACTGCCGGGATGCAGGCTAATTTGCCCAGCATGAACAGTTGTCGAGGGCAAAAGACGCAAACAAATCCTCGAAGAAGAAAGACTCCTCCCACTCGTCCCAAAACAATGCCGCCCTCGGAGTCAACCACGGACAGCAGTCCTCTTCCCCTAACCAGGGCACCCCGACTTCGTCTACCACATCCGTGAATGATACTCGAGGAAAGTCGCCGGACAATGGCTCGCAGGCAGGAATGTATCCTGGTCAGTACTATATCCCGCAGGGCGCAGGCTTGGTTGGTCAGCCCGTGAATAACGGTGGACCAGGTACGCCCACGAAGCAGGGACAGCAGATGGCTCCGAGCGTGGTCATCAGTCCAAGCGCACCGGTGAGCATCCCTTCCATTATGGAAGCGCCTACGCTGTGGTTATCCCAAACCTGGCTTAATGGTAACTTTCATCGATTATTTGGTTCGGGGCTGACCCTTATCCTTCATTCGCATAGCATGTCCCTCCCCCCGGAGCCGCCGAAACCATGCCCGGGGATCTCGCTCCCCCACGGAAGTCGCACGTCTTCGATCGCCTTCAGACGACACCCAAGGATATGTCCGAAGGAATCCGAACCCCTAAGCGCCAGCATTCATCGCGCTTCGATATTTCCGATCAGCGCCAAAGAGAGTTGGAAAAGCTGCAGGGCTTCCACGAGGTTCCCCCGAATCGTCGCCAAGAGTTGTTCATGCAGAAGATCGATCAATGCAACATCATCTTCGACTTTAACGACCCTACTGCCGACATGAAGTCCAAGGAGATCAAGAGACTGGCGCTCCATGAGCTCCTAGACTACATCGCCAACAACCGTTCGGTTATCACGGAACCCATGTATCCCCGTGTAGTCGAGATGTTCGCAAAGAACCTTTTCCGACCCATCCCGCCCCCGGTGACTCCCCAAGGCGAGGCGTTTGACCCAGAGGAGGATGAACCGGTGTTGGAAGTCGCATGGCCCCATATTCAGGTGGTGTATGAGTTCTTCTTGCGGTTCATCGAGAGCCAGGACTTTAACACCAACATTGCCAAGCAATACATTGATCACCACTTTGTGCTTCAGGTATGTCTTCATACTCTTCTGCTGGATGATGAGGCCTAGGGCCGTCCAACTAATGCGCCGCAGTTGCTGGAGCTGTTCGACTCGGAAGACCCTCGTGAACGTGACTTCCTCAAGACAACCTTGCATCGTATTTACGGAAAGTTCTTGAACTTGCGATCATACATTCGCAGATCTATCAACAACGTCTTCTTCCAGTTCACATATGAGACCGAGCGATTCAATGGAATCGCAGAACTACTGGAAATTTTGGGATCTATCATCAACGGCTTTGCCCTTCCTCTGAAGGAAGAACACAAGCTGTTCCTGACACGAGTTCTGTTACCTCTACACAAAGTGAAGAGCTTGAGCATGTACCACCCGCAGTTGGCCTACTGTATTGTTCAGTTCCTGGAGAAGGACTCGTCATTGACGGAAGACGTAAGACCGCACCCGGTTCCTGCCTCGTCGCGGCTTGAAGGCGTTACTGACTATGGGATAGGTGGTCCTTGGTTTGCTGCGCTACTGGCCCAAGACCAACAGTACAAAGGAGGTTATGTACCTGAACGAGGTGGAAGACATTTTCGAGGTCATGGACCCTGCCGAATTTGCTAAGGTCCAGGTGCCTCTGTTCCAACAGCTTGCGAAGTCTGTCGCTAGCCCGCATTTCCAGGTTTGTTATCCAGAGATCGATGCAAGATTCCGAGCAGAAGCGCTAACTGCTCGTCAAGGTCGCGGAACGAGCGCTCTATTTCTGGAACAATGAATACTTCTGTAACCTCGTTAGCGACAACGTGGAGATCATTCTGCCGATTATGTTCCCTCCTTTGTATGAGAACTCCAAGGGCCATTGGAACAGGTAGGTTGATGATAATTTGACTGCCCCTTCCGCAGCGGCTGACTGTTGCAGAACAATCCACAGTATGGTTTACAACGCGATGAAGATGTTTATGGAGATCAACCCACAGCTTTTCGACGAATGCTCTCATGAATACAATGAGCGCCAGAACAGCGCTGAAGAGCGCGAAATGGGCAGACAGCAGAGATGGGAGAAGGTCTTGGAACGCGCTAAAGACAGGAAGAATGGGGTCGCTGTGCCCCCACAATGCCAAGTTGCGGAGATCCCCGTCCATCTAGATGACATCGACCAAGTGGCACACGACAGTCAGAAGCGTCTCCATGCCCTGAAGTTGGATGACTCGAGCTCGACCGAGCGCCGGCCCCGAGAAAGCACGGCATCTTCGGTAAGTACCGAGCGCCCCGAGTAGCTTGTGTGGTCATGTTCTGCCCATGACTTTGTCGCACTTGGCGGAAAGAAATGAAAATTCCCCTACTTTGCTTCGTCGTTGTCTTTGCTAAGAATTCGCCGATGTTATCGTACAGCAAGCGTGATTCTAACGTTGAAACGTCCGTTTTTTTCTCCAGAGACGGCGCCGCGGCTCCTCTGATGATATTCGAAGGCGACGAAGTGGTAGCGCCAGTGAGATACGACCGCGTGTAGATCGACGACGGCCGGGTGCTGGCGTTACTGTATCGATCTTGTCCCGAAGCAACTCCACCAAGTAACGTTGACTTGATGGGCATTCTTCCGTTAGATTTTCCTTCTATGATGGCATAGCGACTACGAGCTGCGATGAAGTGTATTCGTGTCTATTTGGTTTCACGTTCGGCCAGTACTTCCGTCTTCGTGCTCTTCTCCCCCTTTCATCCGCGTCTTCATGTCCTTTTCCCTTTCCTCTTCCCCCTTTTTTCTTTTCTATTTAACTTTCTACAACTCTGTGTACATGGCCTTGAATATTCTTGTGTCTGCGCGAGCACGTGGCTCGGTTGCCCGTGCATCGGAGCGGACGATCGAGTTTGGACTATTAGAACTGTGTTCGGGTCTGGAAAACGGGTGCGAATGGCGTTTCCCTTCGTCGACGTTGATGTCGGCAAACCTTTTGATATTACAACATGAAGTATTTATGGCATGGCCGTGAACCAGATTCCTGTTTCTCTTAAGACTTTATCCACGCGACTATACTACTAAGTCTATAACGTTGTTCCTGTTACCACGTGCCTCTTTTGAGTAAACCCCTGAGCAAGTAACCCGTGATAGGCTCAGCAGCCGCAGGGTAGTACCGTAGACGCGCGCTTACCGGGTAGGAGAAACAAAGTCCCGTTTTTACCTATTTCGGCCTAGTGTTTCGTTCGGGGTCTCTGCGATACCCGCGTTTCAGTCTGCTCTCGCTGCTTTCTGTTCCTGTCGGTTTGCAGGCCGGTAGTTTGCGCTCATTAATTCTTTGCTTGATACCCTCCGCCTCCTCTCCCTTTCCTTAAATATATCGCTATATATTACCCGACCTCTCCTCTTCCTCCCCCGGTCTTTGCTTCCTACACCTTGAACCGACTGGGTCCGATTAATGACTTGACGACTCGACACAATAGTTCTTCCACATCTTCTTATGAGGCGCCTTCCGTCGCTGAGCCATTCGACATAGAGCTCCACCACTACCACCTCCACCACCAACACGCATATGAATCCGACATAAGATCAGCTTGTGCCGGCTTCTAGATTCAGGCCGGCCTCACGGCCTGGCGATTAATTAATCCCAATCTCTCAATATGGCCTCCGCTGAAGGCCCCCGAGGCAACATGGAGCGGAACGCGGAGCGAAGCATTGATATCTATAGCACCAAGCTGGGCGACGACAAGATTGGTGCGTTTTGGTCCTTGATTGTTCATACTGGGAATGAAGCTTCAGCTGTGGATTGGACTTTCAAGTCCTGAGTGGTCTCACTGCGGGCATTGAGCTGACGGTTTCTCTTTGCACTTAGATATTAAACTCAGAGCGAATGTTGCTGTCGAATTACGGGATAGTATCGAACCATTATGCTCTGGCGCAAGCTATCCGATCTTCTTGTCGAAGCTATGGCCGGTGTTCAAGCACATTTTGAAGGGCGAGCCCGTCTTCACGAACATGTCCTTCGATCAGGTGAGTCAGGGATCGTGACTGGTTCAGGTGTCAGCTTTGGGAATTAGGGCTCATACATAGGTTGTGTCGCCAGAAATTACGGAATTGTATCCTCGAGACGCTACATCGTTTGCCAATGGCGTCGCCGGACGTCGAACCGTATGCCGCCGACATGGTCGACCTGCTGATGGATCTGGTCCGGATTGAAAACGAGGAAAACGCGGTTCTGTGCATGAAGACAATCATGGATCTCGAGCGCAATCAAGCCAAGGCCACGGCGGCGCGCGTACAACCTTTCCTCGCGCTCATTCAGGAGATGTTTCAGATGATGGAGCAGGTGGTTCGCGATACCTTCGATACCCCCAGTCAAGCCACCCCTTCTGGGATGCCCTCAACACCAAGTGCGACGGCTCAGACTTTCCAATCGCCTCGACCGAGCTCCCCCGCGACGTCAGTTTCGGATCTCGCACCAGACCAGCAACAACAGGCCAACAATGTGTTACTCAAGGGTATGCAGTCGTTCAAGGTCCTCGCCGAATGTCCGATTATCGTGGTGTCCATCTTCCAAACGCATCGGGCGTCCGTCGCGGCGAATGTGAAGCTCTTTGTGCCGCTGATCAAGAGTATTCTTCTTCTCCAAGCCAAGCCGCAGGAGAAGGCACACGCAGATGCCGCAGCCCAAGGGACGATATTCACCGGCGTATGCAAAGAAATCAAGAACAGAGCCGCTTTCGGTGAATTCATCACCGCACAAGTGAAGACGATGAGCTTTTTAGCCTATTTGCTCCGTATGTATGCGCAGCAACTGCAGGATTTTCTCCCCACTCTCCCCTCAGTTGTTGTGCGTCTTCTTCAAGATTGTCCCCGGGAAAAGTCCAGCGCGAGGAAGGAGCTCCTGGTGGCCATCCGTCACATAATAAACTTTAATTACCGGAAGATATTCCTCGAGAAGATCGACGAGCTTCTTGACGAGAGGACGCTTATTGGCGATGGACTCACTGTTTACGAGACTATGCGACCTCTAGCCTACAGCATGCTTGCCGACCTCATACATCACGTCCGCGACCACTTGACGCGTGATCAAATACGCCGGACTGTCGAAGTGTACACCAAAAACCTTCACGATGATTTCCCGGGAACCAGCTTCCAGACAATGAGTGCCAAGCTACTACTTAATATGGCAGAGAGGATATCAAGGTTGGAGGATAAGCGGGAGGGCCGCTACTTCTTGATCATGATCCTGGATGCCATTGGTGACAAGTTCGCGTCGATGAACTATCAGTTTGACAACGCGGTCAAGGTCTCGAAGGCATACAAGGCCGCGAAGAAGGATCTCGAACCTGCTTCGGAGCGGTATCTTGCGGAGAAGGAGCATCCGCCTGATTGGGATGAAATCGATATCTTCTCGGCATCTCCCATCAAGACATCCAACCCTCGTGACCGCGGTGGTGATCCGGTCTCCGACAACATCTTCCTTTTCAAGAACCTGATCAACGGCCTGAAGAACATTTTCCACCAGCTCAAGAACTGCAACCCCGATCATATCCAAATCGACCCGAATAGTGTTCCGATAAATTGGTCCGAGGTCTCCTATGGCTACAATGCTGAGGAAGTACGGGTTATCAAGAAGCTGTTCCACGAAGGAGCCCGAGTCTTCAAGTACTACGGGGTGGACCAGTCACCTCCGGAAGTCAGCTACTCCTCCCCGTTCGACTTCCTTGCTGGTCAATACACCGCGCCCATGTCCCGCGAAGAGAAGGAGCTCCTGGAGAGCTTCGGAACCGTGTTCCACTGCATTGATACCGCCACCTTCCATGAAGTCTTCCACTCTGAGATACCCTACCTCCACGAGCTCATGTTCGAACACGGCGCCCTCCTCCACCTTCCTCAGTTCTTCTTGGCTAGCGAGGCCACTTCCCCAGCATTCTCTGGAATGGTGTTGCAGTACCTTATGGACCGGATCCATGAAGTGGGTACTTCCGACATGACGAAAGCGAAGATCCTGTTGAGGATGTTCAAGCTTTCGTTTATGGCCGTGACACTGTTCTCTGTTCAGAACGAGCAGGTTTTGCACCCTCATGTCACCAAGATCGTTACCAAATGTATAGAGCTTTCGGTGACTGCAGAGGAGCCCATGAACTATTTCCTCCTGCTGCGCTCCTTGTTCCGCAGCATTGGTGGAGGCCGGTTCGAGCTCCTTTACAAAGAGATTCTGCCGCTGTTGGAAATGCTCTTGGAGACATTCAATAACTTGCTGCTCGCTGCCCGCAAACCGCAAGAGCGTGACCTCTACGTCGAACTTACCCTCACAGTTCCTGCTCGCTTGAGTCATCTTCTGCCACATTTGAGCTACCTCATGCGTCCAATTGTGGTAGCGTTGCGTGCCGATTCGGACCTTGTGGGACAGGGTCTTCGGACCCTAGAGCTATGTGTCGACAATCTCACGGCCGACTACCTTGATCCAATCATGGCACCCATAATGGACGAATTAATGACAGCCTTGTGGGACCATTTGCGGCCCCATCCTTACAATCACTTCCATGCGCATACGACCATGAGGATTCTGGGTAAGCTTGGTGGCCGTAATAGAAAGTTCCTCAACCACCCTCCAGACCTTACCTTCGAACAATTTGCCGATGATACACCCAGCGTCGACATCAAGCTTATCGGACCCAGCGAGAAGCGTCCTTTCCCTGTCGAAATTGGCGTTGATTTGGCTATTGGGAAGTTGATGGAGGTTCCCAAGACACCCACGGCTAAGGCATCGGACAGCTACTATAAGCAGCAGGCATTCCGGATGCTTTCATCGCAGCTGAAACTCTACATTGGATATGAGAGTGTCCCGGAGGACCTGGCTTCTCTCATCCGTTTGCATGCAAATGACCTTTTCGAGAGCAAGACTACATCAATGCCCGATATCCTGGAAAGATCTGAGCGGTCCAGCTCAATCACGAAGAAGTTGACACAGGAGGGCTCGATGAAGAAACTTATCAAAGCTTGTATCTTCGCGACAACCATCCCGGAACTTGAACCCACTGCAACCGCCTTTGTGGCTGATGTATGCAAGCATTTTGCTGTAGTGGAAGTCGGACGCGCTCTCGCCCAAGCCAGGCACACTCGCAGGCCTTTCGATGTCAATAACGGCGAAGGCCCAGTGTATCTCGACTCACGGGTCCTAGCCGAAGCTCTAGTAGAGTCACTGTCATCGGACAATGCTTCTGTCCGTGATGGTGCGCAGGCAGCAATGCAGGTCATGAAGGATGCGGCCGCTATTATCTTTGGAACTCCTGACCGGGTCTCAAAGCTTCCCTTCTT